GGGTGGGTGGGGATCCCCTGAAAGGGAATCTGGAGAGGACGATGGGATGATTTGCACCCAGGATCGTGCTTCGTTCTTCCGGTGCCACATCTCTGCGTCCGCTTCCCCTTTTCCATGGTGACCCTGACTTGGCTTCCAAATAATGCCCGCCTGCCTTAGATCTTCCCCAACGTGACCGTCAAGGAAGAAGAAAGGGGGTGTTCCCAAGGGAAAGGAGGCCACAAGGAATAGCAAAATGCAAATATTTCTTTCTCAAAGTGACATTTCTCCGAATCGGCTCCCGCAGGCTTCCGGGATGGTTATTGGTAGGGAAAGGGAGATATTTGTTTTTTTCTTCCATACCCCCCCCACAATAAATAAATAAATACACCCAAGGCTGCCCACTGGGCACCACAACGATCTGCGGAGAGAGGTGGGTGGCACTTCGCCTCTGGCACCAGTTTGGAATTTAGGATGGGAAGGAAGGCTGGAAAGCAGAACGCAAGGCCGCTGGGAAATTTATCTTTTGTTTCTCTCACCTCGATCCTCGAGAGCGAATGTGGCTAAAGGGATCCTTTAGGATCCGGCAGGCCAATCTTCTGGGACTCCCTCATATCTCTCTGCCCCCACCCCATCCCTGCGCCTTCTCATCTGGCCCCCGTGGTGGGATTCAAATCATTTAACAAACGGTTCTCCGCCCTAACGATTTCTTCCAACAACCAGTTCATCCAGAAAGTTAACAACCGGTTCCCACAAACCAGTGCGAACCGGCTGAATCCCACCACTGAGCTGGCCCCACACCGAATTCCTACTGTGCAAAACCAACATTCTCTGGGAAAGTTAGAAAGTTAGGCAGTTAGAACTAACTGCCTTAGTTGCACCAAAGCCAAAAAAAAAAAAAAAGAATAATAATTAATAATAATTAATAATAATAATAATAATATTGAAGCCTCGTCTTCCCGATCCACCAGGAATTTTGGGGGTGGGGAGGAGGAGAAACATGGATTAAGACGGAGCCCCGATGCAACGTCGTCGAAGAAGAGAATGACGGTGAGAACGGCAGCCCTCCGACGCAGGAAGGGTTGAGCCGGCCTGTTTCACCGGAGGGCGAAAAAAAAATGGTAAGCCGGGATTCCTGCTTTCTACACCCGGAGAAGTCCTGCCTTGTCCCTGCGGCCGTGGTCCCCGCAGCAGGCAGGATTTGGTGGGCCTGAAGGATGTCTCTTGGAAGGTTTGGAGGAAGAGATGCCACGATCTCTCACCGGGAAAGCCAGGTGCCGCTCAGTTACGCTTGTTGGCCAACTGACGGTCTCGCTTCTTCTTCTCCATCAACCTGCGTTGGAAAAAGAAAAAAAAAAGAACACGGACACGAGAGGGATGGTCAGACGCAGCAGGGGGATTCAGCCGGATCGGGACGGTTCGGGCGAACCAGATGTTAATTTTACATCCAGTTCAGCGAAGCGGTAGTTCCGCAAACCAGCTGGCCCCGCCCTGTCCTTCCCAGGAGTCCCCACACGCCTGGTTCTGGCTCCCAGGTAAGTGCAGGGAGGCCTCTGAGGCCCAAAATGGGGCTCCGGGAGAGGGGGGGCATGTGGTGAAAGAAAGAGGGAGGGAGGGATGGGAGAAAGAAAGGGAAGGAAGGAAGAAAAAAAGAAAGAAAAGGAGGGAAGGGAGAAAAAAAAGAAGGGAGAAAGAAAAAAAGAAAGAAAGAAGGAGACGGAGGGGAGAAAGGAAGGGAGGGGAGAAAGAAAGGAAAGAGGGAAGGGAGAAAGAAAGGGAGGGAGGGATGGGATGGGAGAAAGAAAGTAGGGAAGGAAGGAAGAAAAAAGAAAGAAAAAAGAGAGGGGAGGGAGAAAAAAGGGAAGGGAGAAAGAAAAAAAGGAGAGGGAGGGGAGAAAGGAAGGGAGGGGAGAAAGAAAGGAAAGAGGGAAGGGAGAAAGAAAGAAAAAAGGGAGGGAGGGATGGGAGAAAGAAAAAAGGAAGGGAGAAAGGAAAAAGAAAGGGAGGGATGGGAGAAAGAAAGGAAAGAGGGAAGGGAGAAAGAAAGAAAAAAGGGA